GAATGTTTACAAATCACAATAGTCACAAATTAATTTTTAAGCAATTCATTGTCTGGATGATAGCAAAGGCCCCAAGCAAAACGACTGTCCACGTTTCATATTCCCTCAATTTATACTTGTCTGCTGATAATTACCGTGAGGTGTCCAGTTCACGTTTCGTTTGTGGAGTTGTGGTTTTTTCAGTGGAGGTGCCTTACTCGGGGCCTTTTCTGAGCTTTGCTCTCGGTTTTTCAGTTTCTCCACCCTTTTCAAAGATCTCTCAATGAAATCTTTCTTCCGTTTCAAAAATGATTCCTGCAGGCTGTCGTGGACAGGTGCAAGCTCTGACAATATTACTGTGAGGGGAAAAAAAGATGCATTTTACAAATAGGAAGTGTGATTTGCAACAACTTCAGACCCAGCCCCACAAAGCACTGTTATTTTCGAAAATACATAATAAAGTGAGTAACAAGAATCATCATAAGTTTTGAGGGCAAGAAACCATTTAGCAATGCAAAAGACTTCTACAGAGCATAACCCTTTATAGATATCGAAAATAAGGAACAATGATCAGACTCCTTACCACTAATGGCTAACGGGTATGCAAAACCTTTTTAAACGCAAATGTTTGGGGTTTGAAACTGTTGTGTGAACACAAAACAGTTTGTTTAATCACAGCCGAAGCGTTCCGACCCAAAATTGTGCTCTTTCATGCTTGGAACATTCCTAGCACTGATTTTGAGTTCAAAGCCTTTTGCATAGGAATAATACTAACAAACCAGCCTTAACATCAAGTGCCAGATACTGCAACCATTATGATCAGACTTTATGCAAGATTGAACCCACAAAAGCACCCTGAATGCAAAAGCATGCAAGTGTAATTAAACCAGTCATTTAATGTGCTTGGTGCACTTTTCCTTTAGTGTGGCATACAACAACAACAATAACAACAACAATAACAACTTTATTGTCACTTTGAATGTACACCAATCGGCATACCTCAAAATGAAATTTCGTTGCATACAGGGACTCAGTGGGGTTTGATACAGGAAATGTTATAAAATCTTTTTAGAATAAAATGAGTAAAGCTGTCTTTACTAAAATTCTTTTTTGGGGGGGATCTATGCAAGACTGGAGAAAGTTCTAACAATCTGATGAATGAATCAGCAGCAAGACTATTATCTGCAGGATCCAATGTGAGTCACCGAGACCAAAGGTTTATTTTTCTAAAGTCACGGGTGTCAAACTCGATCGCGTCACGTGATATACCGCGATGTTTTTTGCCTTTGCGAAGCCAGGGTGGGCGTGGCCTGCGCCTGACGCATCTGGCCAGTTTGACACCCCTGTTCTAAGCTTTTGGGATTCTGCTGAAGCCCATCCTTAGGGAACTTCTCTGTCTATAAGCCAACTTAACAACCAGCCATCAACACCCTAATTAACAACTAAAAGCCACACACAACCAGGCACCATATAAATACAACATGTAGAACAGCCCAGTGCACATGTTGGAGAGAGAGAGGTTCCCCCTAGAATGGGTTCCAGCATGAGCCCAAAAGCTTGGAACTATAAACCTTTGCTCCCAGGGACTGACTCAGATTGTATCCTTCCACATTATCCTGGAACGTGTATATTTGCCTTCATTCACAAGACTATTATCTGCCTTGAGTATTACAGTTTTTAATTCAAGCTGCTATCACCTCTGAACATCACAAGGCTCTGATTTACACTCCATACATTTGCAGAATACTGCGTACATACTACCTCTTGGCTTGGAGTTTTGATCAGGATCATTTTGAGGGCTTGGAGTTACTGGCGGATATTCCAGCTGCGTGGGAAATTCATCCACTTCTGGGTTTAATGGGAAAAATCCTCTGCTCTGTGAAAAAACAATATGTAAATACAGTAAGTAATGGGTTGCTGGCATGAGGGTTGATGCGTTCAAAAGAATAAAACTACTAAAGGGAGGCATACACACCTAAAACAAAGAATAGCTAAAGTTTTAAAAAAGTACTTTTTAATTGGAATGTAATGGCCTTGGGGCATTAATTACAGGTAGTCCTCAGCTTACGTCCATTTGTTCAGTGACGGTTCAGTGCTGACAAAATGGATGTACAAGTAGTCTGTGAAGTCCCTGCCATCGCAACAGCCCTGTGGTCACCTGATCATGATCCAGTCACTTGGGTACCTGGCTCATTATTACGTGGCAAGGAGCCAGGGTCCTATGATTGCCATCTGAAACCTCCTTGTGGTTTTCCACAAGCAAAGACAAAGCTGGTAGGGATGGTTATAAGTCAGGGGTAGGCAACCTTGGCTCTTTTATGACTCGTGGACTTCAACTCCCAGAATTCCTGAGCCACCATGGCTCAGCTTGGAAACTCTCCCTTTCCCCTCAGCATGGCTGGCTCAGGAATTTGAAGTCCACGAGTCATAAAAGAGCCAAGGTTGCCTACCCCTGTAATATAAGTCATTCCTGCCTACTGCAGCCTGCACAGCTTGTACTGAGTCTCCCAGGTGCTCTCTCGCCTTCGTCAAATCAAGCCGTGCACTTGGAATACTGCATCCAGTTTTGGTCACCACGATGTAAAAAAGATGTTGAGACTCTAGAAAGAGTACAGAGAAGAGCAACAAAGATGATTAGGAGACTGGAGGCTAAAGCATATAAGGAACGGTTGCTGGAATTGGGTATGTCTAGTTTAACGAAGAGAAGGACGAGGGGGGACATGATAGCAGTGTTCCAATATCTCAGGGGCTGCCACAAAGAAGAGGGAGTCAAGCTATTTTCCAAGGTGCCTGAAGGCAGGACAAGAAGCAATGGGTGGAAACTGATCAAGGAGAGAAGCAACCTAGAACTGAGGAGAAACTTCCTGACAGTTAGAACAATTAACCAGTGGAACAACCTGCCTCCAGAAGCGGTGAATGCGCCAACACTGGAAGTTTTAAAGAAGAAACTGGACAGCCATTTGTCTGAAATGGTATAGGGTTTCCTGCCTGAGCAGGAGGTTGGACTAGACGACCTCCGAGGTCCCTTCCAACTTTATCATTATTATTATTATTAAGAGCAGCCAGGATTGCCATCGCTAAGGGGATGCTGTCATGTGATGTTGCATTTTCCTTAGTGACAGCCATCCTGCTCTCAACTGTTATTGTAACCCAGGGGTAGTCAACCTTGGCTCTTTTATGACTTGTGGACTTCAACTCCCAGAATTCCTGAGCCAGCATGGCTCAGCTTGGAAACCTCTCCCTTTCCCCTCAGCATGGCTGGCTCAGGAATTCTGGGAGTTGAAGTCCACGAGTCATAAAAGAGCCAAGGTTGACTACCCCTGTTGTAACCAGTTTGTCAAATATTATCTTATGAAGTAGCAAAAAGGTCTACAAATTCAAAGCACCCTATTCTATGTAATTCCACCATTCTTCTTCATCTTTGGCCAAATTAAAATGTGTTATCGCTCCCCGATCCCCACCCCCACATTTTTTTTACCTGGGGACAGTCACTAACTTCAAAATGATCACCGGGTATAAGCTCGGATTCTGCAGCGCTGATGTCGTTAGAGCTTACTAGTGTCAGGTCAGGTTCTTCCATGATGCCTCTTCCTGTAAGGGTCTCCTAAAAAATGAATTATAGGAAACAGGAAATAATTGGGGTTTCCACAAAAAACACACATTTGTTCTGCCAGAGGCAAGCATTTTTTCAAGAACTGCATAATTCTATCCCAACCCTTTAGGTTGGGGTCCAAACGTGGCAACTTGTAAGACTTGTGGACTTCAACTACCCAGAATTCTTTAGCCAGCCATGCTAGCTGGGGATTCTGGGAATTGAAGTCTACAAGTCTTAAAGTTGCCAAGTTTGGAGAACCCTGCCTTAGGGCAAAAGGTCGTATCATGAGCCATACCACCAAAAGAGTTTAAATTGATGGGACAGGACCCCCACTATGAAAATACCCCATCATGGACCATCCTCTTCGGGAAATCAGATTAGCTCTGACATTATTTAGCCTACGCCTATTAATTTGTTGTTGTCCTTTCTGCTGGCAATTGAGCAATTGTCTATTAAATGGTGAAGAAATGGAGGAAGTGACAGATTTTATCTTCCTGGGCTCCAAGATCATCACAGATGGAGACTGCAGCCAAGAAATTAAAAGACGCTTGCTCCTGGGGAGGAAAGCTATGGCAAATCTAGATAGCATACTAAAAAGCAGAGACATCACCCTGCCAACAAAAGTATGTTTTCCCAGTTGCAATGTATGGCTGTGAAAGTTGGACCATAAGAAAGGCTGAGCGCAAAAGAATTGAGGCCTTTGAACTCTGGTGCTGGAGAAGACTCCTGCGAGTCCCCTGGACTGCAAGGCGATCAAACCGGTCAATCCTAGAAGAGATCAACCCCGACTGCTCTTTAGAAGGCCAGATCCTGAAGTTGAAACTCAAGTCCTTTGGCCACCTAATGAGAAGGAAGGACTCAATGGAGAAGAGCTTAATGCTGGGAAAGATGGAGGGCAAGAGAAGAAGGGGATGACAGAGAATGAGGGGGCTGGATGGAGTCACTGAAGAAGTAGGCGTGAGCTTAAATGGACTCCGGAAGACAGTAGAGGACAGGAAGGCCTGGAGGAACGTTGTCCATGGGGTCGTGATGGGTCGGACATGACTTCGCAACTAACAACAACAACAGGAGAAGGGCGGGGTATAAATGTAATAAATAAATAAATAAATAAATAAACAAACAAGTTCTATAGAAAAAAAAGTGAAGGGAATTTATTTCGCAAGAAGAAATTAATTAAAACAACATCTTTTAATTAGACTAAACAGCTTTTGTTAGCTGAAAAACAATGCCTTTCATATCGTCTCTAAACAGAACAGCTTACATTTAATCCAGGAGTCTCCATTTCAGGTCACTCACCCAAACAGGGATGCTGCACTGCGACAAGCGGGAATCCGAGCTTTTAGCCTGGACGGCATCCATATTTGATTGTGGAAACACGGCTGGCTGGCTGATATTTTCCTGAGCAGAATTCTGAAAGGGACTGCCAGAGTTCATTTCTTGAGACCCACCCAGCAGTACCTTCGATCTTGGAAAACTCTGCTCTTGCGTGGCATTTAAAACATACCGCGTGAGGTCAGTTTCTACATCCCCCATGACTAATCTGCTCCTGGTCTCCGTTTCCTTGTTGTTGTTGGATGACGTTGTGGCTAGTTCAACGAAGCAGAGACTTCCTGCCCTTGAGCTAGTGTCCTCTTTTGCCCATTCTGTCCTCTCCTGAGTGCTTTTCCTTGTGCCAGAACTTGGAATCATCTCGTAAATGGAGGTTTGATCGTCAGCTGGAGTAAGGCTGCAAAAGTTTTCGATGGACGAACAGAAATAACGAGCGTCACCGTCATCTTGCAGATCCTCGCAGGATCCAGTCTCAGGCGAAATAACTACAAGGTCCTCCCCACAGTTCTTGCTTAGCTCAAGGTTTTGTTCAGGCTTGAAACCGAAGGCTCCAGATTTACCAAAACTGTTGTTGTGCAAGGTACTTTCCAGAGATAAGGGTTCAGACAATTCTTTGGCCAACAATTGAACAGCTGAGAAATGGCAAAAAAACAAACAAACAACCAATCCAGTTTTTATATGAAGTTAACTACGGTAAAATTCAGAACATTACTGCATTTTTAAAAGACTGAAGCAGAGAAGGAGCAATTATTACTCATATTAAAAATAAATTACAGGTAGTCTTCTAGCACAGGGCTTTTCAACCTTTTCACCCATTGTACCACTTTTAGGATATGGCAATATCCGAGTACCACCAGTCGCCTAGCAAGGTGTCAAAAACTTGATGATCAAAAAAAAAAAAAAAGGGAAAAAGTGATGAAGTACAGGTAGTCTTTGACTTACAACAGTTCGCTTAGTGACTGTTTGAAGTCACTGAAAAAAGTGCCCCAGCCACAGCCGAGCAAGACACCTGCCTGCCCACCCGGCGGCGCTCTTCCTCCTGTCCGAGGTTTTCATTGTTGTGAGCATTTCTGTTGAGGATTGGCAGCTGGGGTGGGGTGGGGGGGTGTTTGGTTTTTATTCCCCCCGTCTGCTGGGTGGCTGCAGCAGGTTTTGGTCACTTCACATGACCCTGGGACACTGTGACCATCATAAATATGAATCAGTTGCCAAGAATCTAAATGTAAATCACAAGACCCTGGAGATGCTGCAACATTCCAGCTGATCGGCGCTTCTTCTGGGCTCAGCAGAAGCGCCAGGATCGGTGCTGCTTTCCAGCTGATTGGTGCTTCTTCAGGGCTCAGCAGAAGCACAAGGATCAGCGCCGAGCTCCAGCTGGAGCCTGGCACTGATCCTGGCGCTTCCGCTGAGCCCTGACAGCCCTGCAGCTCCAGCCATCTCTCGCTCAGGCTTGTGCGGTGCTGCCACCGGTTCAGCTCATTCCCCTCCCCTGCTACCACTTTTCTAGGATGGTCGCGTACCACCTGCCAGGTGCCAATGTACCACAGGTGGTACCTGTACCACTGGTTGAAAAGCCTTGTTCTAGCACAGTGGTTCTCAACATTTTTAATGCCACGACCCCCAACTGGTCGTAAGTCGAGGACTAAACCGGTCGTAAGTCGAGGACTAAACTGGTCGTAAGTCGAGGACTAAACCGGTCGTAAGTCGAGGACTACCCAACCGGTCGTAAGTCAAGGACTTTCCCTGCCCGTGAGCGTGGTTCCGCCCCCTGCGCCGGCCGAGGCGTAGCTGGCAAGCGGCAGAGACGGAGCAGGCCGACCACCAGCTGGCCCAGCCCAAGGGAGGTAAGGCACCTGCCGGAAAAGGGGAAAAAAATGGCGGACAGCCTTGCTTGGCGACCCCCGTGAAATGGTCGATCGACCCCAAATGGGGTCCCGACCCACAGGTTGAGAACCGCTGTTCTAGCAGGTCAGATCATCTGCTCATCTAAAGCCAGATGGCTGTCTCATTCAAAATCTCAAGCAAAGGCCTTACTAGAACTTTCAAGATCTCACAGACTGACTCTATGAAAAAAAAAAAAATCACACTCTACTACTAAGCTCTAATTCCTCACCAAAAAATGTTTTTTTTTCCTAAGGTCTGGAACCTGATTAACCAAGTCATGATGATTATTTTTCAGCGCCAGATGCAAATGTCATGGAAGCTATGAGATGGGAGCAAAACAATCAACACATCTGGTACCTGATTTGTTGTCAAATGTTTCTTCTGTCTTGCTTAGCAATATAATATTGTTCTATTGTTTTAAAACGTTTTTAAGATTTTAATTGTGAGCTGCCCAGAGTTGTTTATTGAGATGGGGGGAGAGGGGGAGAGAGAGCTGTAGAAATCAAATCAAATCATTAATATATAAGAAATATCTCTGCTGTGTAAAATCTGCTGGGAAAAAATCAATTACTCAATTTCTAAATCAGAGAAGCATGGATCAAACAGAATCTTTGGAACCTAAACTTCAAAGCCGAACAGAAATAGGTCAGCACTTAGTCAAATATCCCTCCTTTTGTTAATAACA